AGGTGTCAGGAAATGACTAGTGATATGATTGAAGAAGCCAAAGATCTTCTCATTAATTGTCTTGCAGGTAGGCTGTCAAAGCAAGATAAATGATACTTATTCTAACAAATATTTCAGAGGCTTCAGAAACATCATACATTAGATATGCTTTCACTCTGCCAGAATTGCAACAATATCTCAGCATCATCACTAGTATCATCAGTAAGAAAGAAATACTGCAAGTATTAAAAAGCCACTCATTTATTATATAAAATATAGGCAGCCATGGGTTATATTATCAACCAGGTTCAATATGTGCTGTAGGTGAAGCTTAAACATTAAACCTTAATTATGACAGACAACAAACTAATGCAGCTAGAGTAGCTCGAATCATGAGGCATTGTTGTATGTTGATATAAGCCTGAGTGTGCTTGTGAAACCAACTCATATAGTCTTTTAGCTCAATGTCAATATTTTGATTTTTATGGTGAACCTGGAGTCCCTACTGGCAATATTGTAAACAATCCCTGTGCAAGTTGCACAATAAGAATTGTTTACAGGCCTGTGGGATGTGCCTGTAAACAACCACAGAACTTACTAAATCTCTAGGCCTGCTTCGTGTGTTCCATCATGTGATACAGTTTGTCCAGTGGTGCCACTGGCATGCTTCTTTGTGCCTGCCTCTCCATTCATTCCCACCCTCCTCCTCCTCATTGCTGTCGCACCCCTGCCATTCCATCCATGACCTCATATGTGGTGTTCCTGAACTCACCTCTGATCTCTTTTCTTCTGCCAATCTCGATTGGACCCCTTTTGAATGCCTTCCTTCATGCCTTAATTTGTTTCTCCTGCCAGCTCTTAATTGTTTTGCTCCTTCCTTCTGATCCCCTGCAACATATGGAGGAACATATGAGCCCTTCATCGCTCTTGTGGTTTGGTGTTGTGCCATCCTTACCATCTCATCGGCCAGTCTACCCCACGCAACACTGACAGCAACTGTATGGAGACACCGGTGTGTCTCATTTGTTCTATCCACCAGACAAGAATGTCTCCTTTTCTCAGCTGCTTCCTGTGTCCGAGATGAAGAAGATCGCTGTCCATTAGTTAGTATGCAGTTATATACAACCTGGTCCCTCAGCAATCCACCTGCCTAAAGCATCAATGCAGTGGTGAGTCTGACTGCCATTTATTTTTCTTACCTAAATAATTAGAGTACTTTGGTGCAACCATCTTGCTGAACCAATCATTATTGACCATGGGGAAAATACCATAGAGCAGCCATCCTATACCAGCTAGTTTACAAATGATGCTACTGAAAGTAGAACCGACATCAAGGTTTTGGTTAACAAGTCTTAGAATGGCAGTCAGACTTGATCAGCATGAACCCATTCGCTATCCTGGCTGGTCAGTCTGACTTTTCTGACCCAGAACCCTCCCGATGAATATATGTTGCTCATAAAGCTGGAACTTCCTAATTTTTCGCTGAGTATGATATTTATGGATGTCGCTAGGTATCCTGATAGTCGACAAGACATTGGATTGCTTGCATCGAGCAGTGGATGAATTCCGAGCATTCATTCTGCTGCTTAATCGAGGCAGACCGACCAACCAGGTAGTGATTGGGTGGCTGTGCTGCCTCTTTCCTTACCTTTTACCACCACCTCGCCGACGACCACCACTCTACACACCATCAAAAAGCCGATTAAATGGCATGTACTCTCATATTATCTGAACTCACTGCTGTTTTTAGGCACTTTTTGTGCTTGAGAATGGCGAGTGTAAGCCACAAATGACAACAACAACAACAACACCATTCTGGACGACAGTGACAACAACTGTGATGGATGGGGGACTCGAGGATTGAAGGAGGTGTGTACAGCCATGCCAGGATATGTCATGATGGAAGGAGGAGGACGACGAGGGGTTGCAGGAGGGTGGGATGGTGAAAGCAGGAGGGCAGGTGCAACATGAGGACACTGATGTCCAACAATGACAGCGACAGATGAACCCTTTTAGGCATCAATGGACGACCCAACAACGGACTGGATGTGCCCAAAAAATCTTGTATGCCTCCACCACTGCGCCTGCTGCTGGCAACACCCTCTATGCACAACATCAACCTCTCACACCCCACCCAGGATGTCTATATACCCCAAGTCCATGCATCTCCCACTATTTGAGTGGGGGAACATGGATATGAGGTTCATTTTTCCCACCGACACCACCGTCACTGTACGCCTGCCTACAATCCTGAATCCTGCCATTCCCGACCTGTAGCACATGCTACAGTGCTCCCAACTACCTCAAAGCTTCACCAACCTCATTTTCTATGATGGCGAATGTGATGGTGACCACCCTCTGGCACCATTATGCCTGTTAGCTGCGAAACAGCGGTCAAAGCCCACCCCCCGCCATTGATGCCGCCCAGAAGTGAGATATCTTCCCCAAAACGCTGGACAACCATCTCAATCGATGGAGAACCTATCAACGCCCTGAACCACACCATGCCCAGGCATGCCCGGTGTGTGCATGCTGCTCGATACCCTGCACAATGAGGGGAGGTTTTTTTTTGGCCCAAATTTTAATATATTTACTCGATACAATTCTATTGATGCACCCTATTGCAATGCCTTGATGGCATAGTTGGTATAGTGTCTTGGAACTAGGTGTAGCCAGGAGGTCCAGGGTTCAATTACCTGTGTTACTGTTATTTTGCTAGTCAATTGTTGTGCCAAAGAAATTGGTAATCCAATGATTCCAATCTCGCAGTTGTCGATCCAGCTTTTTTTGTCCCTGTTTGTTGGGGTAGTTATGGATGGTGAGCCTTGCTATTAAGTTTTCACAGTGTCTGGGGCTTCCTGTATTTTCTTATTGTTTGAATGTGAATACAGATATTCAAGAAATATATGAAGAGGAAACACGGAGAACACATAGGCGCAAGGAAGATCAAGGCACAAGGAAACTGCCCAAAATCTGCGATCGGTGCCTGCAGTACCTGATTCAAAAAAGGGAAGAGGCACTGACTGCATGAGAGGACTGGTGTCATCATCATCGATGGTGACAATGCAGGTTAGGTCATTGCAGGGGATGCACAGAACAGACCCTGTGACCTTGCCATCTCACAAATTTGTAAACTGGCACGCATGCAGCTACCATGGATTTGTTTACAATACCAGTTGTGCAACTGCACAGGATTGTAAACAAGGCTGGCCTTTTCAGGTGGAACCTGGTGTTCAAATTGGCCGTTCTAGCCAGTACAACCATAAGATAACCCCACTGATTTGGTTATTGTCACCACTCTTATTCTTTGCACCTGATACACATTGCATTGTCCTACATGAACTCTACAATGATGGTATCACTCCACCTGGATGGAGTGCTTTTATCCGAAAACTCAGTACTGAATGGCAAGACTTTGTCATCAATGTGAGAATCAATGTGAGAATCAATGTGATAGACTCTAAGGATAGTCTAATACATCTACAGGCTACTGTTTTGCTCAATGCAAACATTGCATTCCTAGCCATTCAGAGTATTGATCAATCTAGTGTTGATAAGGGATGTTCACCTGCTCAAATAGCAAGTTATGTATCAACCATTCTGAGTGTTGGTAGTATAAGTCTAGGTTTGCTTCTACTGCAGAAGTACTGCCACAAGAATCGTGTTCATGACAGCTGGGCAGTAAGCTATGTCTTCTATCAGTTGGTTTAGTATTTAATTTGTTTTTTAGTGGAATTTTCTTGGCATACAAAAAGAAGACCTGGGAAGGAAGCTTGGTCTAGAGACTTTAGCTATCATGTTCAGCCTACCTTGGGCTTTACTCATGTGGGCGTGAGTTTCAAGTTACTTTATCTTCTCAACAGCATAGTAATTCAAATTTCCAAAATCCAGGATGATTTTTTTCCTGGCAGCATTCTGCCTTATGTGCTTCATTGCCTCCAGCTTATCAGTCCGAATGATTGTAGGCAGTGCATTGTTGGCCATCAGCATCCTCATCTTCTGGTATCTCACAATATCACAGGAACAATATAAGCTGCGGTGGTATGTGCAGGCCTACAACCAATAGGCCTACAACCAATTGGCCAATGCTTGGGATAGACTGACCTGGGCAATGGCTGCATGCCTCCCAGCCAAGTTTAACATAGGTTGGATGAAAAGAATGCTGTGGATAGTTTCAAATGATGTTGAGATGGCACCAATGGATTCATCTATAACATCATCACAAGATTACAATGATTCAACAACATGTGAAACAGTGCCATCAGCCAGTTCACATGTGACAATAAGCTCATGACACAGCATCAATGAGAGAGTCACATGTAATGGATGTGGATGTAGTATAACAGTTGGCTGCCAGGAAGAATACAGATGGTTGAAAGTTTGCAGTGGTACTGTGGCAACCTTGTGGTGCTTTGGTGTAGCATAAGTTTGAGTATTTGTAGTCATGATTCTCGAAGCTATAAATTAGCAGAAGCCCAATAGATACATCAGTTTAGGTTTTTATAACTGGTGGTCTTACTATATGAATGAACATATGCCTAGTAAGAAATAATAAGTATTCATATCAATACTAGCCCCCTCAGGGGGGGTTGGTACAAGCAGTATTGTAACATCCTCTGGGCCTGGGATAGGGTTGTGCATGAAACCCCCAGTTTTGATACACCCCAGTTTTGGACCAGTAAGAAACCACAGGTCAGTGGAGCATATTTCATTGAGGTAACTTACTGGCCACATGACAAGGAGAAGGATTCTCAGACTTAGATGTGTATAAAGAAATAAGAAGATGTGGCCAGAGAATTCTAATGGGTATTGGGACAGAATTCATGAGTATTTGAGGTAAGACAATGGGGCAGTGTAGTGTCACAGCATCGTACAGAAAAATGGCTCCATGGTGGTCACATGAATAATCCCGTGACCGGTAAGAAACTCCCAAGGAAAGGTAGGTACAAAACGGTATGAAACCTCCCCTGGAGGTTTCGTGCGCAGCCCTAATAATGGAGCAAAAACAAAAACATTGTATCCGACACCAGCAGGATTTGAACCTGCGCACTCAGAGAGTAACAGATACCAGAAACCACCTTATGGTTCTAATCTGTCGCCTTAACCACTTGGCTATAGTGCCCTGTATGAAAGGTGCCGTTGTGAGATATCTATTCCGCTTATGGTCTACTTCAAGCCACCGCTAAAGAGACACATCGGTGCCAGCGTGCATGAAATCATTCCACGCCTTGATTCTTACACTGACTCGATCGTAGAGATGGACCCTCGAACACAACCCATGAGACGCGTATACAAATCCCGTGTCGATAGTATTACGGATTCGGCGTCATATCACCATCGCCAGAGGAACCCAAGAGCGAAAACCCCGATGACGTTCGAGCAAGCCTCGTCATATACTCCCTGATCGATCCCGTTCGCCAATACCTCCTCCGTCTCACATGAATAAGAATTAAAGTTCACTTGCGGGGATCCTCAGCAAGGAGCCGGAGGGACCGCTGTGGTTCAAAGATGCCGCCTAACCCAGCGGTGAGTAATAACTGTTCTCATTTCGAGAGCCCCTCCTCGTCGACATCCGCTAGGTGCTTTACTCATTGCACCGTCTCGATCTCTAGTACACCACTGCGAGGAGTATGCCCCTTTTCAAAGTACAGGATCTCACCGTGTATGTGTAGCCGGTCGACGGGATTGTTACAGTGTTACTACACTTCATCCAGTGGCCCTAAGCATTCGAACATACAATGAATGGTACTTCAACAGGAAGAGAGGACCAGGTGGCCCAAACGATCTTACCGGACGAACGTACGGCTCGAGGACGCTCCTGGACATCGAACAATTCCCGCTGCTCTCTGTTCACCTGTGAAACCTCCGTTTCCACTGTTCAAATCCAAGCGCTCCACAATCCTTTCTTGCAACCGCATTCCCCAGCTTTTGGAACGTGAAAAAATCAGCCCGTTCTCTTCAATGCCAACTGCGAGAGGATAAGGTTGACATAATGTCGACACCGATAAATGGGTACTTCTCGTCGGATGAAGGGTTGGACGCGGAGAGGTGTCAATGTGATTCCAACTGACACCGGGAAGTGCCTTCCTAGCCCGCCTAGCCATTCGCTACGCAAGCATAAAGTGTCTGATTATCAACTCTCGTGGGACTACTCGAGTGCATCCAAAAAAACCAAAGATCTTGTTATCATTTTACCTCCAGGACTCGAACCTTGCGCATTGGACAGAGCTACTAGACTAGTGTGGACGACGAGAGACGTGATTCCCACGCATCGTCTTCTCGGGGCACACAAACATCGGATAATGGTTCTGCGTCAGCTATCGATGTCACGCGCTACACAGAGCGATGTCCGAGCATTCAATATTCAGACCTGTGGTCTGTCGCACAAGAACCAGGCTCGCGTGTCCCACTTCGATATGTTACCTTGCGCTGTATTCAAACTACACTCAGGAGGGCTGAGGAGCTTGATGATAAGGACCACGCAGAGCTCGTTGAGATACTCGGCAAGGAGCTTGAGGGTCTCATGTAGTTCGAGGACGCCGCTTCGTTGTCGCTGGTGAGTGTACCCCCGTCTTTCCGTGATATTTCTCATCAGTGTTGTTAGGAGTAAATCATTCCCATCGTTATGCATCCTAGTACTCGTTCCGCTGACTTGAATCGCGTTGTTTCATTATTTGGTTGAACCCCAACCTTACTCCTGTCAGATAACCATAACATTCTCAGTTTATTGATGAAATTTAGACAAGGGACACATCGCCAAAGAATGCGTGCGGTAGGCAGGAGCATAATATTACTCCGCAAAATTGTCGATGAAAGCATCATTTCTCAGGGCGGTCGCCAGCATGCTCTTGGGAGCCTCAGTATCAGCGAGAAAGGTGTCGTGCATCTTCATTTGATGGAGGAATCTTGTCTCTTTATATCGTGGAGACTCTGGAGAGATGCTGAGCTGAAGACGAGGTACATGTACAACTCTCTACTTGTATATTCTCTATATCTTACACAGTCCAGTCTCTTCTATTCAGTTGATAAATCCAGTTTCTCGCCAGTGTGCTACCCATTTCGCCACAAGCTCCCTATTGACCACCGGCGCCTTCTTCAAAATCGGTGCGATCTTTGTCGTCTCCTCCGTCAAGAATACCATCGGCTTCCTATGGAACCGCCCATATCTCATACGGAAGAACGGCTACCGCACAACCCGTGAGTCACCCACAACCGCCCGCCAGGAAAGCTACTCACCAACAACTTGATAGTCGGGTTCTTCTTTCCGTCCTCATCCGACTTTGCTAGCCTCTCTACCCAGTCGTTCTTATCCACGCGCTCGAAGCTCACACCAGAAGCTTCTAATCCGTCAAGAATATCCTTCCAATGGGCCGATCTGTTGGGATTCACGATATGATACACAGCCGTAGCGGGCTTCGTCGTGTTCAACACGACCTCCAGTATACTCTTCCCGGCGAAATCTACCGGTAACCACGAAGGGTTTTCATTAACCAAAGGAAGCGCGCCTACAGTATTCGCACTTTTGAACATCAGCGGCCACGCCTCTGTTTCGTTCCAGACACCGCTTCAAAGGACAAAATCAGCACACACACTGGTTTCTCAAGGCTAAAACCACCCACTGCACAGAATCCCCGACCATCTGACCTATCCGCAGAACGGACACCGGCACCCCACTCTGTTCTGCCGCGCGCTCACACAGCTTCTCCATGACCCACTTGCTCTGTGCGTATCCAGTCCCCGCAGCTGTCGATGGTGAATGAGGAAAGTCCTCTGAACACGTTTCATCCCTAGATCCCTGCCTACAGCTGATGGACGAGCTAAACGCGAACGACGCAGGCTCGGAGAAGGGTGCTTCAAGGCACAAATTGATCAGGTTCACCGCGCCACCAATGTGCGAGTCATAAGACTCGATGTTGAGTACGAAGTTGACGGGCCAGGCGTTCTGTTTTGGGTCATAATGAATGGATATCACGACACAGAAGGAGGGTGAAGGTGTGACGTACGTGGATAACGTCCGTCACCTCGTCTCGTAGAGCGCCGTACTCTTCTTCCGTCAATCCGAGGAGATGCTCGTTGGCGTTTGCTGCGTACGACGTGACCTTGGCTTCATCGACGGAGACCTTTCGGGCAATGACTGACTGTCTAATACGTTGCAAAGATTCGGTGTGAGACTTGGCACGGGACAAACAGACAACCTTTCGAACGGAAGAGGATGCTGTCAATTGAGAAAGAATATGAGCGCCGAGGGATCCCGTTGCACCGGTGAGGAGCTATGTATGAGTCGAGTGAGTCTCCTTTTTTTCTGTGGTGTGAAGAATCTGGGTTTACGATAACGCGTGCGTCGGTAGGCTTTGTTGAAGCATTAGTTTTGGCTGTATGTATACCTATCTTAGCACTCCATTTATCAAGTAGTGCCAGCATCACGGCTTCGTGCCCGCTGTCTACTACTTGAGTACCACCGCTCTGTAGTTGAAGGATATAATCTGCAAGTCTGGCAAAGCATCAATGTAGGAAGCCTCGTCAAGGATGGAACTACACACCTCTCCACCGATGGATGTTCATATACCACTAATAAACCATTGTGAGTCTTTCGCCCTTCTGAAAATATAACGCTCTCTTTTACCTGTCTGTCCAAGGCTATGAGTTCCCAACTCAAGCTCCTTCTGCAAACTATTCCGTATCCTCGTCGCCTGTAGTGAGTCTACACCAAACGCGAAGAGATCTACTTTACTATCGAGCTTCGCCGAGCGACTAGGGCCAAGTGCTTTAGCGATCGTAGCAAAGATGTACGCCTCCAGCTCTTCCCGCGGTAGTGTCTTCTTCTCCACCTCGACGTCGGTCTGGTCGAACCGGGCGTAGATGCTTTCTGAACACCGGTTGACCGCAATGAATTATGTATCAAAACACGACTCGTACCTATGAGGTCCTTGAACTTGGCATAACACGCCGGTCGGAGTATGCTCATCTTAGTGGCCACCGGGATATGCGTACCGTACCTGTACGGGTCTTCCCATCAGTTCATGCCTTGCAAAATGGCGTAAGGACACGTACGGCAAGAACTCTACCATCTCGGGTAGCAACCGCGAATGCGTCGGTGCTTCTGCGTTGGCTTGCTCGATGACGGGCCAAATTTTGGACATGAGATCTTCTTGAGAGAGATCCTCTTCGTGCGCGAGGTCAGAAGGAAGGATTAAGCATCCCGTTTGCGGTTTTCCGGCACCGAAGACGATGGCTGGAGAAGCGTCAGTGGGCAAGTAGTAGGAAGGAAGCCGGCTTCACCTTCTGCTACGTATGGACTGTTTCCTCGAATACAGAGTTCCATGGGGACTGCATCGCTCATCAGCAAGGATAGGATGGCTAGCAGGATCCTTACCGGGGTTGGTCTTCTCTCCGAGGATATGGACGAGCGTATCATCAAGCCGTCCGATATATTTGTACAAGTCTTTGCGCTCGGGATGTCGGAGGAAGAGGTCCTTGGTCGCGTAGGATCCGTCTGGGCGGTTAGTCTCGATCTAAGAAGGGCTGAAAAGGCTTATCCCAGTGCCGGGGAAGGGATTAACAAACCTTGGGAGGATACCCGTCCTTGACGATAACTTCAAAGGTGTCACCGCCTTGTGGTTCCCAAACGAGGTAGTTGGCTGAACCGAGGAGAGGGTGGGTCCAGTTCCAAAGTTTGTCTGTTGCGAAGTCGCGGTTGGAGTTCATCAGAGAACCGGTCTGCAATAGGTGAGACGGACTTATAGTCGGGTGAAATGATTCTGACCTCTGTTGTTCCGTAGATACTGAGCAAGTTCACTCCGGCCTGAACGAGTCTGTCACCGAGATCATCCTGGTTGCAGTAAGGATGAAAAATGGAGATAGAGACGGACAAGTGAATAACCTACGGGGAGAGGAGCGCCTGCATATCCAACGATATCAAAACTGGCTAGAGCATTGACGCCTGCAGGCGTTTCCGCGAGGAGCTGCGATAATTGTCCTGAGCAAAAGCTTTATAAAAACCGTGTTGAAGGGAAATAAGACCTTGATAATGTATGGTACGGCGTAACATTGTCGGACAGGAGGAGAGGCAGCGAGTACGGCACAAATGTTACTGGACGTGAGAGGCAAATGAGGCGGGAAGAG